ATGCTCTGTCTAAAGTCAGCTTCAACGGAGGAAATCTTCAACTGATGAATAGCCTCCTTTCGCTGTTGGAGGAACGCAGGAAACAGCGAAACATTGAGGCTACAATCCATGTAAGTGCCCACTTGAATGGTTCCTATTTTGAGAAAATGGAAGTCTCTCCCAATTTTTTGCCTACCATTTCTCCCCCTCCCCCAGCACCTGGCAACCACCCTTCTACTTTCTCTTTCTCTAGATATGATTATCCTAGGTACCTAACATAGAAGGAATCATAGAGCATTTGACATTTTGGGAATGGCTTATTTCACTTAGCATAATGACCTTAAGCTTCATTCATGCATTTAACAGGATTTCCTTCCTTTTCAAAGCTGAATAATATTCCATTGCATGTACCTACTACATTTTGTATATTTGTTTATCCATTGATGGACATTTGGGTGGCTTCCACTTTTTGGCTATAATAATTCCACTAGGAACATGGATGTGCAAATATCTGCTCTAGCCCCCATTTTCAATTCTTTTGGTGATGCACCCATAAGTGGAATTGCTGGGACATATGGTAATTCTATTTTTTAATTTTTGAGGAACCACCATGCTGTTTTCATTAACCATATGTTTTCTTTGGTGTACCATTTTTATGTTGCCACCAGCAGTGCACAGGGGTTACAATTTCTCCACATCCTAGCCTGCACTTGTTATTTTCTGGGGTTTTCATTATTTTTAATTGCTGATCTTCATTAAAAGCATGTATGTTATTAAACAAAAGCTATGAATATTGAATTTCTGTCATACACCATCTTGATCCCATGTTCATAGTTTTCAAAATCCCTTGAATTATGGTTTTGCCATTGCTCTCGTTTTTGTGCTGAGATACAGGGCTTGGTTTCCAAGATGAGATCAGAGACTGCAGAGCCTACTAAAATTCTGTGACATGCTTGTCAAAAGGTCTCTCTCCACATTTTTTTTCACAATGAAGCCATCTTACAAGGAACTTCTAGGATTGGAAAGCATCTCTCTAGTCAATAGGCCACTTCTCCCTGAACTATAGTTTTTTGCCTCTAATAGATGTTCAATAATATTTGGAATAGTAGGATTTTAAATCTCAAAAGAATCACATGGAAAGAAAACATAGAGGTACATGTTTAGAACCTTGGATTTGGCAATGTTTTCTTAGGTATGCACCAAAAGTACAAGCAACTGAAGAAATAAATAAATAAATTGAATTTATTGGAGTTACATTGGTCAATAAAATTATGTTTCAAGTGTACAATTCTATAATACATCATCTGCACATTGCATTATGTGCTCACCATCCAAAGTCTAGTCTTCTGTCACCATTTATCCTCCATTTACCCTCTTCACCTTGTCCCCACTGCCCTTTCCTTCTGGTAATCACCATACTGTTGTTTGTGTCCATGATTGTTGTTTTTTTACTTAATTTCTTCACCTATTTCACCCAGCCCCCACAAGTCCCCCTCCCTTCTGACAGCTGTCAGTCTGTTCTCTGTATCTATGGGTCTGTTTCTATTTTGTTTCTTTATTTTGTTCATTAGATCCCACATGTAAGTGAAATCTAGTAGATTATCATTTCCTTCCATGACCTAAGGCTACTTTGAAGTTAGCGCCTTTCCTGTTGGTGATTTAGTAGAAGTAGAAAGAAATGGGAGAAGATGGTGGGAGAAACTGGCAAGAAAGGAGTAAGAAGGAAAAATAAGACTCAGAGAATATATGGAGATGTATGGAATATTGTGGGGCTAGAATTCCCCATCTGTCTCTCCAATCTACTCTTTACTCTTCTGTGCCTAGCTTTGTGTCCCAAAGGAGGTGGACATTTGTTCCTGAACTGCATTAGTAAGGTCCTTCGTCTTTTGTCTTCCAGTTTTCTTCTGTCTATCAGCTGAAACTCTGACCCATCCACAGGAGCTCTGTGTGTGTGTGGGGGGGGCGGCGGGGGGGTGGGGAATGAGGTCAGGATGCCCATTCCTCTGTTGAACTTCCAATTGGCTGAATATCTCCACCTCAGGCCACGGTTTTTCTCTGGGAGGGGGGTCATTTTCTATGGTTAGTTTTCTAGGTTCTGATACCTGCTCCTTTCTCTCACTCTCTCAGATCCACAGATACTAATAGCTCTCCAATATTGCCAGTCTTGGGATCTTTCACCATACTAGTACTCTGGGGATTTCCCTGAATCCTGCCTATATCTTTGTAAATGTCCCTCCATTAATATGCCTCAAGTTCTATTTTTAAAAAATCTTTTTAAACTTTGCAATTACAGTTGACATACAATATTATATTAGTTTCAGGTGAACACTCAAATGATTAGATATTATATAACTTACTAAGTGGTCATTCAAATAATTATCACACCCATCTGACACAATACATAGTTATTAGAATATTATTACTATATTCCCTATGCTGTACTTTACATCTCCATGACTATTCTGTAACTACCAATCTTCTTCTCAATCCCTTCACCTTGTTCACCCACCCTCCCTAACTCCCTCCCATCTGGCAACTATCAAAATGTTCTCCTTCGATTCTAAATGATAGCTTTGCTGGGTAGAGTCCCTTGATTGTAGGTCCTTGCTTTTCATCACTTTGAATATTTCTTGCCACTTCCTTCTGGCCTGCAAAGTTTCTATTAAGAAATTAGCTGACAGTCTTATGGCAGCTCCCTTTAAGTAACTAACTACTTTTCTCTTGCTGCTTTTAAGAGTCTCTCTTTGTCTTTCACTCTTGGCATTTTAATTATGATGTGTCTTAGTGTGGGCCCATTGGGTTCCTCTTGTTTGGGACTCTCTTCCTAGACTTGTATGTCTATTTCCTTCACCAGGTAGGGAAGTTTTCTGTCCTTACTTTTTCAAACAGGCTTTCAATTTCTTGTCCTCTCTCATCTCCTTCTGGCACCCTGCCCCCCATGGTGTGAATGTTGGTATGCTAAGTTGTTCCAGAGGCTCCCTACACTATCTTCATTTTGGGAGGATTCTTTTTCTTTTAGCTGTTCTGTTTATTTTTGCTTCCTTATATTCCAAATCACTGATTTGATTCTCGGCTTCATCTACTCTATGGTTGATTCCCTATGGTCTGTCAGTAAATTATTCATTTCAGTTAGTGTAGCCTTCATTTTTGACTGGTTCTTTTTTTATGGTTTCTATGCCCTTTTTCATGCTGAAGTTGAAGTTCTCACTAAGTTCCTTGAGTATCCTTACAACTATTGTTTTAAACTTGGTATCTGTTTTAAACTTGCCTTCATTTCATTTAGTTCTTTTTCTGGAAATTTTTCCTGTTCTTTCATTTGGGACCTGTTTCTTTGTCTTCACGTTTGGGTTGCTTCCCTATGTTTGTTTCTATGTATTAGATAGAACTCCTCCATCTTCTGGACTTAGTAGAGTAGTCTGGTGTAGTAGGTGTCCTATAGAGCCTAGTGGTGCAGCCTCCCCAGTCAGCCAAGCTGGGCACTCCAGATGCACTCCTGTGTGGGCTGTGGGTACTGTCCTATTGTAGTTGTGTCTTTAGTGCTTTTAGTGCTGTCTTTAGTGACATCACTGGGAGGGATTGACCCCCAGGATAATTGGCTGTGAGGACCGGCTGTGACTATAGTAGAGGAGCTGCTATGCAGGAGCCAATACTTTGGAGCAGGACTTGCTTCAGTGGGGCTTTGGTACTCTCCCAGTCCGCCCCTGGAGTGTATCACTTGTGGAGGTGGTAGAGATGTAATCCAACATGGTCTGAAGCTGCCCACTGGGTGCACTAGCTCTGGGGCCTCCTGGGAGGTGCAAGGTCAGCCACTGCTTGTGCCCTTCGTGGGGCCACTGGGCACAAGCTACAGAGCAGTTGGTAGATGGCTGCTACTTGTGCTGGTCTTGGAGGTACCCAGGAGAAGCCAAGCAGTGAACCAAGGCCAGCTGCAGCTAGTGCCTGGCCTGGGGCCACTTAGCAAGAGATATGGGGTATGCAGAGGTCAAATGCTGCTTGTTTGAGAGATTTTAGGGAAGTCTAAAGCTTGAGGCAAGAGAGGCTATTTTTATAGAAAAGCCACTGGAAATGGCTTGGGTGGGGCAAGATCTAAGGGAATCACCAGGGTAGGGCAAACAGTGTGAACCAGGTTAATGGAGACTTAGATATGGTGCCTGCCTGCTGGTTCTGTGGTGGGGGTGTCTCAGAAAAGAAACAATAGCCTCTACCAGCACTTTTGTCTGTCAGAAAGCTGACAGCTGACACCCACTCCAAGCTCTCACTCTAATGCCAGACAATTCAGTTGCTCCCTGTATGCTCCTGGTTCCTTTCAAGCTGCTGCCCCAGTGCACTGGAGCTCAGAGGGAGTGAGCCTGAGTAAGCCCAAACACGGGCCCTTTAAGAGGAGCTGCCTGGGACTCCCACAGCCTCTGTGTCACTCAGCCACAATCCCCACTGGTTTTTATAGCCAGAAGTTATAAAGGATTTCTCCTCCTGGTTCTGGAATCCTGGGCTGGGTGGCCTGTTGTGGAGCTGGAACCCCCTTGCTCTTCAGAAGGGACCTTTGCAGCTGAGATATCCCTCACAATTTTGATTCACCATACATGAGTGTGGGACCAGCCCATTCCATATCTCCCCACCCCTCCTACCAGTCTCCATAAGGCTTCTTTAAATCCCTAGTTGTAGGACTTCCATTCAGGTAGATTTCAGGCGGTTCTGAATGATCATTATTCTGAAGTTAGTTGTAATTTCTATGTAGTTGTAAACGGGTTCAAGTACTACATTTACCTAAGTTACAATCTTGACCAGAAGTTCAAGTTCCATTTGAATGTACCATCAGCTTCTTGCTGGGATCCTTGACTGCTAATATAATTGTCCTTTAACACAGTGTTCCACTAAACTCTGACAAGATGATCTTGGGAAATCCCTAGGAGATAGGGTAACAATTTTTACTGGCCTTTTTCCTTGGCCTTAGTAATGAAAAAGTGAATGAATGCTTAAAATATAATCTGTAGTTAATTATTAATGGGATAATGTTTCTTTTCTTAGTATTCACTCTCCTCTGGTAAGCCCAGATCTCCAATTAACTATAAACAAAATTATGAAACTACTTTATGAATTAAGTTTTGAGCATCTTAAGTTTGAGATGCCTGAGGGAAATCTAGTAATAATAGTTTCTAAGTGTTCAAAGATGAAATTGTTTGCCACTGGAGACAGTGAGTTCCACATTGTAGGAGTGTCCAAGCAGAAGCTGGAAAAGCAATGGATTGGTTGTTGAACTTGCTGATTTAAGGATCTTTTCCAATGTGTACTTTTAAGATTCTTTGCTTTATGTTATATGGTCTATCACCATAATATTGATTATGAAAATCTTGACAATTAAGTTAGATATTTTACTATAACAAATGGTGCACAAACAATATGCATACAGACTTTTAAGCCCAAAAATCTTAGAGAAAATTTATCTTCAGTACAACATGATGAAAATCCTGGTCTTTGGAGACAGTTAAACCTCTGCTTCAATCCTAGGTCTCAGTGAAAATCTATGTGTCTTATGGAAGTGACCTAATGTCTCTGTATCTCAGTTTTCTTACATCTTTCTCATAGCGACCGGGTAGAAATTCAGGGAAATAACACATAAGACAAATTTAGGTTCCCCAAAATGTTAGTTCTCTTTGATTTATCATCATCATTAAAATGTTCTTTCTGCTATATCAATTTGCAGTGCAAAGGTAAATAAAAATGCACTTAAGAATTCTTTTTAAAACTCATAGCTAACATCAGACTCAACAGTTAAAATGTGAAAGTGTTTTCTCTAAGATCAGGAACAAGACAAGGATGCCTATACTCACCACTGTTATTCAACATAGCATTGGAAGGTATAACCAGAGCAATATGGCAAGAAAAGAAAAATAGAAAGCATCCAAATTGGAAAAAAAGAAGTAAAACTGTCCATATTTTCCGATAAAATGATGTTATATATAGAAAACTCTAAAGACTTCACCAGGAACTGTTAGAAATAAACAAATTCAGTAAAATTGCAGGATACAGAATCAATATACAAAAACCTGGTGCATTTTTACACACCAACAATGAACTATCATAAAGAGAAATTAAGAAAACAATCCCATTTACAACTGCATCAAAGAGAATAAAATACCTAAAAATAAATTTAACCAAAAAGATGAAAGCCCTATATATTGAAAACTATAAGACATCGATGAAAAAAATTGATGAAGATATAAATAAATGGAAAGACATTTTATGCTTATGAATTGGAAGAATTAATAGTTAAAATGCTTACACTACCCAAAGCAATCTACAGATTCAATGCAATCTTTACAATATTCAAAGCCATTTTTCATAAAAATAGAACAATCCTAAAATTTGTATGGAATCACAAATGACCCTAAGTTGACAAAGCAATCTTGAAAAAAAAAGTTGAAGGCATCATACTCCCTGACCTAATACTATGCTACAAATCTACAGTGATCAAAATAGTATGATATTGGCATAAAAACAGACACATAGATCAATGTAACGGAACAGAGAGCCCAGAAATAAACCCATACTTTATATGGTCAATTAATCTATGACAAAGAAGGTAAAAATATATAATGGGGTAAAGACAGACTCTTCAATAAACGGTTCTGGGAAAACTGGTTAGTCACATGTGAAAGTATGAAACTAGACTACTATCTTACACAGCCCACAAAAATTAACTGAAATGGTTTAAGACTTGAATGTAAGACCCGAAACCATACACTTTCTAGAAAAGAAAGGAGGCAGTAAGCTCCTTGTTATAGGTCTTGGCAATGAATTTTGGCTCTGACTCCAAAAACAAAGGCAACAAAATAAACAATAAACAAGTAGAAATGACATCAAATGGAAAAGCTTCTGTACAGCAAAGGAAATAATAAACAAAATTCAAAGGCAAACTATTAAACAGGAGGAAATATTTGAAATTATATATCTGATAAAGGGCTAATATCCAAAGTATATAGAGAACTCATTCAACTCAAGAGCAAAAAGTTAAAATAAAAATTGATTAAAAAATGAGCAGAGAACCTGAATAGACATTTTTCAAAAGAAGATATACAGATAGCCAACAGACACATAAAAGATGCTCAGTATCACTGATCAGGGAAATACAAACCACAATGAGATATCACCTCACACCTGTTAGGATGGCTGTCATCAAAAAAGACAAGAAATAACAAGTACTGCAAAGATGTGGAGAAAAGAAAACCTTCATTCATTGCTGGTGGGAATATAAATTGGTACAGTCACTGTGGAAAACAATATTGAAGTTCCTCAAAATGTTAAAAATACAGCTACTATATGATCCAGCAATTCCACTTCTGGGTATTTATCCGAAGACAGCCAAAAACAATAATTCAAAAATATATATGTACTTCCATGTTCATTACATGATTATTTACAATAAAAAGATACGAAAACAACTTAAGTGCCAATCAACAGATGAATAAAGAAGATGCAGTATATATCAGTGTGTGTGTGTGTGTGTGTGTGTGTGTGTAATAGAATACTATTCATATATATCTACACTAATAAAAGAGAAACATGGTAATTAGCGTACGACCGCTACCCTTCCCATTGGCTAATCAGCATATCCTTATGCAAATTAACTGTCAGCCAAGATGGCGGCCAGCAGCCAAAAGAGATGGAAGACAGTGTGAGCGAGCACGGGAGGGCGGGCAGAGCTGCCGGGGCGTACAGAGGAAGGGGGCCACCTCACCTTGCCCCAGTCCCGCTGTGAGGACGATGTGGCCGATGCCATTTTCGACTTCTTCTTACTCTCTTTCAGCTTCTCCCCTGCCAACACCACCTCGCTGGCGTCATTTCGACATTTAGGGCAGAACCTGTGACAACAGGGACATCACCCCCTGTCCTTAGCCCGCCCCACTCCTACTAGCCTGCACACATAGCTGGCTCCTTCCAGCTCCCGACCTCCTGAGCTGTCCGAAATGGGACATCTTCTACATTTAAATTCATTAAAATTAAACAAGAAATCCAGTTCCTCGGTCATACGTGCCACATCTGAAGTGGTCAGGAGCCGTGTGTGGAGTGTCAACCGTCGTGGAAAGTGCAGAGCGAGAACCTTGCCATCATCACAGAACATTCTACTGAACAGACTCTGGTCCCTCTCCTGCTGGGAATTTCACACCCCACTTCTCTCACTGCCCCTCATGGGTTCACCAGGTGACAGGCAACATTCGTGTTATTTATTGGCACCCGCCGTCCCCCTAACCTGAGCACCATGGCCCAAGCCCGCCACTGGAGCATTCGAGGCATCCACTCACCATTCGGTCTCCGTGGGAACACTGGTGAGAGGCGGGTTGAGGCAGTATAAGTGAAAGGCGTGGTCGCAATCATCACACATGAGCTGCTTGTCGGGATCCTGCTTGCTCCCACACAGGCTGCAGGAACACTCATGGCAGGGCTTGCTGGGGTTATCCTTGCATTTATCGCAGAAGGGCTTGTTCTTCCCTGGACACAGCGGCTGGGGTCAGCTTGGCAGGGCCAGGCAGAGAAACAGGAAGCCCACCCCACCCCCAAGGCGGGAGACAGAGGGCAGAATCAGAACTCACTTTTCACTGGGTTTTCAACCATGGGGGCCCCCTCTCCCGGACGCTCAATCTTGAAAACTTCATCCACAAACATGATCCGACAGTTGCTGAGAGAACCACTCCTGTGAGAGACAAGCCATTAGAACATTCCAGCTGGCCAGCCCTGCTAAGGCACCTCCAAGAGGACTTGGCCACCCAGCACATTCTCAGAGCATATGAGCACCTCTCTAATGACACTGAGTGGGCCCAGCCGGTTTGGCTTAGTGCAGGGGTGGGCAAACTTTTTGACTCGAGGGCCACAATGGGTTCTTAAACTAGACCGGAGGGCCGGAACAAAAGCATGAATGGAGTGTTTGTGTGAACTAATATAAATTCAAAGTAAACATCATTACATAAAAGGGTACGGTCTTTTTTTTTTTTTTAGTTTTATTCATTTCAAACGGGCCAGATCCGGCCCGCAGGCCGTAGTTTGCCCACGGCTGGCTTAGTGGATAGAGCGTTGGGTGAGGATTACCAAAAGAAAAAAATAAAGGAATTTTGCTACTTGGGACAACATGGATGGGTCTCCTTGAGGACATTATTCTAAGTGAAATAAGTCAGATAAAAACAAATACCCTACGATTTCACTTAAATGTGGAATTTATAACAAACAAACAAGCCATGCTCATAGATACAGAGAACAAACTGGTGGTTGCCAGAGTTAAGGGAGTGTGGGGGAGGGGTAAACTATGTAAAAGGGATCAAAAGATACAAACTTCCAGTTAGAAAATAAATGCGGTGGGGATGTGATGTACAGCATGTGACTATAGTTAATAATGCTGAATTGTATATTTGAAAGTTTCTAAGAGAATAGATTTTAAAACTTCTCATCACAAGAAAAACACCTTTGGTAACTATGTATTGTATGCATGGTAACTAGACTTACTGTGAGGAACATTTTGAAGTGTATACAAATATTGAATCATTATGTGATACACTTGAAACTAACATAATGTTACTTATACCTCAATATAAAAATAATTATTTTTTAAAGTTGAAAATGGCCATCAAAGTAAAGATCAACACATCTACTTTAGCATCCCACAACATTGAGGGCACAGTGTTATATGCTATAAAGAATACATTATATAAAAATCTTCCCTGAAAGAGCTGATATTTTAAAATAATAGTAAATAAATTCTGTTCATACCGTGCTTTTCACCTTACAGCCATTTTGCTTGGTGCCTCACAACAATGCTATAAGCCAGGCACTATTATCTCCATTTATAAAGGAAGGAATGTGAAAAGGGCAGAAATCATAATCCTAGAGGAGGTGGTCTTTTCAAAGATTCATTCAGACATCTTACTTGGTCAAGGAAACAATATTGAAAAATAAAAAAAAAAACATGAAAAAATTAAAAAATTGAACGACACATGGCAGCATGGATATTCTACGTGAGTTAAGTTAAATCATCTCCAAGTACAACTAGGAATTTCAGGAGCAAGAAAGCCTTGGGCTGGGGGAGTGGGGCCATTGGAGAAACATGTAGCCTTGGGGTTTAGAGCACAGGCTCAGAGAACTTGGTCAAATCCTGGCTCTTTCACACCCAAATGGTGCTGGTGGCCCTTTGTGTTAGCCTTTTCTGTACCTCGGTTTCCTCATCTGTAAAATGGAGGTATAATAGAACCTACCTGGGGAATTTTGTGAGGTTTCAATGAGGTAACCTAGTTAAAGTACTTGGCATAACCCCTACCTCACAGAAAGTGTTTAATAAATACAGCTGTGATGATTACAAGACAAAGCAATGGAGTCCCAGTGGAGAGCTAATTTGCCTAGAGCCACGGAACTAGTTAGTGACCAAGCAGAGAGTGGAGCCCAGATCTGGTCCATTGTCCTTTTGTTCTAAATGAGCCATAACTTAATTGGTTTTTGGAAAATGGGTGGTAAGAACTTTAGCTAAAAGAGAGAACAAGAGCTAGATATTCTGCTCTTTGCAATCTATCTAATGATGGGGCTTTTCCAGGAAACAGACGCATCACAAGTATCTATGCAGAAACATAAATAAACATAATTCCTTCAGAAGGTTCTTCTCTTCCTCCTCACGACTGAGCCCCTTATAACATGGTTTGTCTATGATTTGAGGGATCAAGCCTCCTCAGACAGGTAGAAAAAAGCACAGGCTCACAATGCACTCCCCTCTTGCTGTGACTGGTGCCACAGTGAGGCCCCAGTGTAGATGCTTCTGGCCGGACAGAAATGGATGTGGAGATTAAAGAACTAGAGTAAAGCCTGCAATCATCTTTGAGACCAGCTTGTGCCTGTTTTTTAATAAACATGCTCAGCTATTTTGAGCCACCAGGGACTTATCACTCCCAGCCTCCATTCAGAAAGCATTCATCTGGTCACATGAGACCAGGAGAGCAGGAGCCCGCAACCAGCGACCATAGTGTCCTTGGCTAATAAGGGCAGGCTCTCTCACCAGACATCAAGGCCGAATGAATTTGGGTAATCAAGACTTAAATAATAATGAAACTCAAAACAACATTGAGCTGAGTAGGGTTCTGGAGCCTTTTCCCTGCTTAGATCTCTCCTGCTGGAAGTATTTGTTGTTCTTGGCCTTTTGAAGTCATTTCACATCAACCCCAGTCCCTCCCAGTGAGCACAAGTTGACCCAAAATCTTTATTGGGCTCTTGCGACACCATTTTCCTGGCATTTCTTGGAATAACAGTAGAGCCTCCCTGGGTTTAGAAAGTGCTTTTCTGGTTAATGAGGACTGAACAGTTTCATTCCTAATTACAGTAGTCCCTTTTATAGTGTCATGTTCCTAGCAGAGATGGGAAAGTTTGCATCCTTAAACGCCAAGCCAGCACAACAGTTGTAGCATATATTAAAATCTGAGGAGTTATAATATTCTATTTAATTCTTTAAGAGAGACTTCCACAGGGCCTGCCCCTGAATTTCCCAAGAGTAACTTAGGAGGACATTCCAGTCCATGTGTGTGAGCTGAGAAAGCTGCAGTTTTGAGAACTTGCATATTAGAGAGCCCAGGAGATGACTTTCTCAGCTCGACCAGCTTGAGAAATCTATTCATCCTTCTCCATTTATAAAGAATACGGTGAGATTCCTCTGCTTCTCTGTAATTCAACACAGTTTTGAGAGCCTTGCTTAGATCATGTGACTGGATTTTAGCCAATTTGAATGGTGTTGATGTGAGCGTTTCAGAGTCTATTGCCCAGTAATACTCCTGGGCAGATTTATTTTGGTCCCTTTGGGAGGTTCTGCATATTTAGCTTATAGCCCTCCAGCTGTCTCCTCTCTGTTTTGATTTTACTCCAGTTACTTTATTTTGCCCTTCAAACCAGGAAAAGTTTGATAACCACTTTTTTCTTTTGGAAAATATGATGGGTAGTACCTGCTGCATCATCAGTGGTGGCAGAAGACAGAAGGTAATGGTAGTCCTGTCTCTTACCTTTTGTCACCTTTCATGCTAATGCAGGCAAGACTTACTTCTGTGAAGAAGCCAGCGTGGTGGGACAGAATCTGACTTGATTCCCAACATTGCCACGTGTGTCACCTTTGAATTTCAGCTTCCACATCTGTAAGATAGGGTAACAACCAATCCTTAGGTCTCTCTTCGAATCATGAGATGACTCGTGCAGAGCACTGAGCTTGGTGTACAAAGAGGTACTTGCCATATGTTAGCTGCCTTTCGCTTTCCCTTCAAGAGGCCCAGATGAAACACGTAAGAGCCTGCTTAGGAAAGAACATGTGCAATTGAAACTTCAAAAACTGTTAGCCAGAAACATCTCCTTCTTTGATAAGGAATTGGAGGAATTAGAGAAATTTCTAAATATGAAACTTCTTTCATGTAATTAACCTTGGACTTTTTAGACAAGCAGCAGCAAGATCATCCTACATAAGGAATACATAATTAAGCTGGAGATTAGCATTTGCCTGCCTACCACCAGGGGACAATATGAGGCTGTAATTACTGTTCAGATCTCCATTGAAATACTGGGCTTGGTAATGTTAGACCCCAAAAGAAGCATGCAACAGTTTCTTCCAAGAGCATCCAAAGAGGGGGCACGGTGTAGTGGAAAGAATATTGATTTTTGACTCTAAGTCTTGTTACCTATTAACTAAGTAAACATCTGTGAACCTCAGTTTTGTTTGATTTTTTAATCTGTGAAATAGGCTAGGGCAGTGGTCGGCAAACTGCGGCTCGCGAGCCACATGCGGCTCTTTGGCCCCTTGAGTGTGGCTCTTCCACAAAATTCCGACTTCTGCGCATGGGCCACAAAGTTTCAATCGCACTGTATGTGCGCGCCCGCACATGGTATTTTGTGGAAGAGCCACCCTCAAGGGGCCAAAGAGCCGCATGTGGCTCTCGAGCCGCGGTTTGCCGACCACAGGGCTAGGGGATTTCTGATTTACTCACAGGACTATTTAGAGTAGAGCTTCTCCAATTCCAATGTGTGTACAAAGCACCTGGTCTTGTTAAAATGCAGAGTCTGGCTCAGGAGGAGAGGAGCCTGGGATTCTGCATTCCTAGCCACTTCCAGGAGATGCCAGTGCTGCTAATCATAGACCACACTTTGAGAAGCAAAAATGTAGAGGATTGTATGAGATACTATATAGGTAAAAGGACTTGTAAACTCTTGGACGGGTAGAAGGTAATGCCATTAGCAGCAGCAGCATTCATATATTCTACTGAGAGATTTTCTCTAATAAATACTACTACTGATTTTCATGTCTTCCCATCCTACACTGTTTTTTTCAGGGCATCTAACAGTGCCTATATGAGGAATTCTTTTTTTTTAGTGTAGTTAAGATAGGGCCTATGGGAATGCAAAATGCCTGGCACAACACTGATAAGGAAGAAAAGAAGAGATTAAAAAAAGAAGGAAGGGAGAAAGTATAGAAATACATTGTGTTTTAGGGGTAAGAGGTGGCCGTCTCCTCTTAGAGATAAGGAGATGTAGTGGATGGAAGGGAGGCAGCCCGTTGGCCTTTTGCATCGAGTGCTTAAGGACTACAAGCTTCACAGTAGGCGGCGCCAGATTAGTCAAAGGTGTTTACAATGATGATTGGGAAATTTAGGGATGCTACCATCAGTAGATGTAGCTTGATAAATTT